CTGAAGGCCGCCCGAAACTCTTGGGGCGGCTCAGAGGGGTTTGGAGTGTGTGGAAAGAGGCAGTGCGGGACCATGTCCAGAACAGGACCCATCGTTTGTACAGGGTCCGCCTCGTAAAGTCAGAAAGGATGAGCAATTGAACAGAAAACGCCGGGGGGCACCGGAGTGAGAGAGATGGAGACAGATAGAGAAGCAAAGAGAAGGAGACAACAATTAGGGAGAAGAGGAAGAAGGAAGACAGTGAAAGAGCGACAGATAGGGGAACAGGGTGAAGGAAACAAAAACAATGAAGGAGAGGAAGAAGGAAGCGATGGTGAAAAGAGGGCCGCTTGGAGAACAAAAAGGGGTCAAGCAGGACACTTGTTTTTGTTATCCACTGTTCCTTTTCCTCACCCCTTACACTTATGTCCCGAGCATTGCTCACGCCTTTCTTCCACGGTCTTTGTCCTTCATTTCTCCTCTCTATCTCTCTATCTTCCCTCTAGCTCTCCTTCCTTTCTTTTCCATGTTCGTTCTCCTCCTTGACCCCGCTCTCGCTTTTCTCGTGTCCAGCCCATGAGCCTTTCCTCTTCTGTTCCTTTTGCCATTAAGTGGGGGGATAGAAAAGGCAAGGTTAAGCAAGGAGAAGGAAGGGCATTATAAGATGGCGGACTATGATCTGTCTCTTTCTGCGAGGAAAGGAAGAGGTGAGGGAGGGGAGGAGAGGCAATGTCTCATGTCGAGCTGGGAGGGAGGGTTGGATGCTACTGGAAGCTCTAGCCTCTAAAGGCCCCTACATTCGGGAGGCTCCCGGGAGCCCCTGCCAACTCCCGAGGCCCCTGAGACACAGCAACATTGGGATGGGATAGGGTATCTCTCGCTTCCTCTTCTTTTTTTCCTCATTTCTTGCTTGTTCCATCCTTTCTCACTCGATTTCGCCCCCCCCCCCTCTCTGTGTTCCGCCTTCGCCCGCCTTGTTCCATGCCCTGCCCTTCCCTCCTTTCCACATCCTTCTCAAACGAGAAAGCAAGAGAACGATGAGAAGGAGAGGTGAGAGGGACGAAAAAGGCAAGGAAATGAAGATTTCGCCCTGCCCTCTCTGTCACTTCTCTCATCCGCTTTCACCCCTTCCCTCTCACCACTCCATGCTCTATGCTAAGAAAGGAATAGGAGAGGAAGAGAGGAGTGGGAGGAAGAAGATTGGCAGAGGAAAAAGGGACTTCTTCCCTTTCATTTAGCTTTGGCTTACGGTATCCCAAACACCAAAATACAGATGGGTCTTTGGGAGGGGGGCTTGAAAATGCTACAGACTTTAGCAGAGCATATGAAATATTGAACTACTGGACCCCATCGCCGAGTAAGCGCTCCAGCTGCTTAATCGGCCCTGGGTTGGAAGCTTAAAGATTGACGATGCCGGGAAGCTCTCCCCGCGCATCTTCAGTCCTGATCCTTCGGCCTCAAGGCCGATTGAGCGCTCCACCTGCTTAATCGGCCCTGGGTTTGAAGATTGAACTTGCCCGGGAACTCTCCCCGGAGCACCTTCAATCCTAGATTCTCAACCCTGGGCCGGTTAGGCAGATGAAGTGCTTAATCGGCAGGGGTTTGGTGTTGAAGATACTCCGGGGAGAGTTCCCCGGCATATTCAATATTCAATCTTCAATCCAAGGGCCGATTAAGCAGCAGGTGGAGTGCTTAATCGGCCCTGTGTTTGAAGATTGAAGATTGAAGATGCCCGGGAATTCTCCCCGGAGCATCTTCACACCCTTTAAATAGCTGAGTGTGGTTCTTTTATTCATCGTATCTCTCTCCATCTTTTTCTCTTTCGCTCTCTCTCTCTCTCTCTCTCTCTCTCTCTCTCTCTCTCTCTCTCTCTCTCTCTCTCTCTCTCTCGCTCTTCTCTTTGTCTCTGTCTCTCTCTCTCTCTCTCTCTCTCTCTCTCTCTCTGTCTCTCTCCCTCTCTGCCTCCTTCCCTCCTTCCTGCCATCATTCCTTTCTCTTCCCCTCTTCCTTCTTCTTGTTCTTTCCTCTTTCCTCCTCGCCCCTCCCGTTTTTTACTTGCCATTCAACATCCTTCAAGAAGTGTCCCCTTTTGCCCTTTCGCGGTCTTCTCTCAAACCCCTGGGAGGCCCTTTCAGGGAGCCCCTTCAAGGAACCCGAAAACGGCGGGGCCCTGGTGGATATTGAAAGAAGCAGATTCGCAGAAGGAGGGAAGGAGAACGACAGACACGGAGCAAGAGATAGAGAAACAGAAAAAGGAGAGAGAAGCAACTGTCCTCTCCAAGCTGTTTTCAGAGTGGCCCCAAAGACTGGGGTGGGCGTGAGTTCGCCCCTTGCCACTCGAAAGCCTCCCTTTCTTGAAAGAAACAACAGGCAGGAACCCCTTCTGTCAAAGAATCCGTGTCAGAAGACAAAAGGATACTGCGATAGCCCCTCATTCGTATTTTAATTCCTCCCAAATGCTTTCGGCTCTTTTCTTGATAGATGAGTGGGTCCGTCCGCTCCGATTGAAATGAGAGAGTTTATTTTCTTAGAATGAACCGTTCCGTGTATTCTTAATCAGAGGTAGCCCTGCCTATGTTGAATACAGATGAGGGCGTTGTCCTGAAAGGCCCTCCTGTTCTAAGGAACACCGTGAACGATAGAACCCTTCATTTGAAAAGGAATCAACGAGTCCATCCAGTATTTCAATAAATGACAGGATTTCGTTGTTCTTCGGAATGCTATTGTCTTTAAGAAGCTTTCTTTCTCCTTCCTTTCGTTTTCGCTCTTCGTGCGCCCGCTTTCTGCACTCTCCCTTTCTTGTGTCCCTTTTGCGGCCCTTTCTTCCTCTGTTCCTTTTGTCATTAAGTAGGGGGGGGGGTAGAAGAAGGGCAAGGTTAAGCAAGGAGAATGAAGGGAATGATATGATGGAAGGAGGACTTCTCCAGCTCCTCGTAACTACTTCTCTACATGTCTCTGTGTGGTTTTTCTTCTTGGCAATATGGGGGCTCTTGGAGGCCCCTGGGAGACGCTCTCTGAAGGCCGCCCGAAACTCTTGGGGCGGCTCAGAGGAGTCTGGAGTGTGTGGAAAGAGGCAGTGCGGGACCATGTCCAGAACAGGACCCATCGTTTGTACAGGGTCCGCCTCGTAAAGTCAGAAAGGATGAGCAATTGAACAGAAAACGCCGGGGAGCACCGGAGTGAGAGAGATGGAGACAGATAGAGAAGCAAAGAGAAGGAGACAACAATTAGGGAGAAGAGGAAGAAGGAAGACAGTGGAAGAGCGACAGATAGGGGAACAGGGTGAAGGAAACAAAACAATGAAGGAGAGGAAGAAGGAAGCGATGGTGAAAAGAGGGCCGCTTGGAGAACAAAAAGGGGTCAAGCAGGACACTTGTTTTTGTTATCCACTGTTCCTTTTCCTCACCCCTTACACTTATGTCCCGAGCATTGCTCACGCCTTTCTTCCACGGTCTTTGTCCTTCATTTCTCCTCTCTATCTCTCTATCTTCCCTCTAGCTCTCCTTCCTTTCTTTTCCATGTTCGTTCTCTTCCTTGACCCCGCTCTCGCTTTTCTCGTGTCCAGCCCATGAGCCTTTCCTCTTCTGTTCCTTTTGCCATTAAGTGGGGGGATAGAAAAGGCAAGGTTAAGCAAGGAGAATGAAGGGCATTATAAGATTGCGGACTATGGTCTGTCTCTTTCTGCGAGGAAAGGAAGAGGTGAGGGGAGGGGAGGAGAGGCAATGTCTCATGTCGAGCTGGGAGGGAGGGTTGGATGCTACTGGAAGCTCTAGCCTCTAAAGGCCCCTGCATTCGGGAGGCCCCTGAGATATAGCAACATTGGGATGGGATAGGGTATCTCTCGCTTCCTCTTCTGAGCCATGTTTCCTCGCCCCGACGGCGGAGTCCTCCACGTGGGCGTGCCCCTACTGAGACCAACTCCATACCCTGAGGGGTGTCACCTTTGTCACTTTGGTTGGTTACAGTTTGGTGGGCCTTTTATACTGATGGGGTGAGAGTGCCGCCAATTCTCTTAACGGCATCCGCACTCTTGCGGTCTTGCTCCACTGGTCCCGTGCCATTGGGTTTCTTTGTTCGGGGGAAGGTGTTGGGGGGGGTGCTCATGGAGTGCCTTCGCCGCCTTCTCTCGAAGCGGTGTCGTGTCGGGCAGCTTCCTGGGTGGGCTGTCGGACGAAGATACTCTCGGTCAAGTTCTTCTCGAGGTTTTTGTGGTAACTTCACACCCAGAGTACCCTCACTCGCTTGTTCACATGCTGTTGCGAGTGTGTCGTCGTTTTCAGCCGGTTCGGAATCGGCGAAATCGGGCCTGTTGACAGCTTCTACGAAAAAGGCGGGTTCGTGGCGGGGGGAGGCGTCGATACGTCGTGGTCGGATTTTGCCTGTCAAGGGATTGGCTGGCACGACTAGCCGAAGGGTGCAGGGGGACACGATCCCCTTGTGGCGGTGTTTTGGCCACATGCCAACACCAATGGCAAGCCCGACCCCCCCTTGCTATGTTTCTGCTTTTTTGCCTGTTCGACAAGGGATGTGCCGGGACCTCTGTAGATCGATTTGACCGTAGGCGAACACTCGCTACGGATGCATTTTTGTTGTTTTTTTTCAGATGGGTGAGCGGGAGGTGGGCGATTTGGATTTGCTTTTTCTCTTTGGTTTGGGCTTGTCGCTCTGCTGGTCCAGGTACGTGTACTATGTTGGCGGGGTGCGGTTGAGTGGTTTATGTATACACTTACAAGTAGGACTTCCAGTCTTACAACTCAGGCAAACTGTCTTATAAGTCAACGTAACTGAGCCAGATGTTTATAAGCGTTTATGAGTAATATAGCAGAGTTATAATGCCACTTGCGTTTGGGTTATAACCCAGAATATATGTTGTTGCTAAGTCATTTATAAGTCGTGCTCGTGGGAACGTGGAATTTCGTCCGTGGTACCATATAAGTGGACTTAGCTAAGTCCTAGCTAACTGGTTCGCGGCAGACTTTCTATTCAATGAGTGCGCTGTTCTGTTTGTCGGGCCTCTCGACATGTCGTGGGCGTGTCGTGGGCATGTCGTGGCCGTGTCGTGGGCGTGTCGTTGTTCTGGGGCCCTGTCGCGTGCATGTCGTGGCCGTGTCGTGGCCGTGTCGTGGCCGTGTCGTGGCCGTGTCGCGGCCGTGTCGCGGGGGGCCTGGCACTTTGCCACGGGGCTGCGTCATGGGCGTGTCGTGGGCATGTCGTGGCCGTGTCGTGGCCGTGTCGTTGCTCTGGGGCCGCGTCGTGGGAATGTCGTGGCCGTGTCGTGGCCGTCTAGTGCTCGCGTCGTGGTCGTGCCCGGGTGGCAGACTTAGCTCGGAGTTGTAACTCCAGTTGCATAAGTCCGTAAGTCCGTAAGTCCGCTTATAAGCTAATGCCGCGGACAAGCTAAGTGCCACCTAAGTCACTTAGTAAGCCACGGTAAGTCATTAGGGTGTAACCGATTTTATAAGCCGGACAAGCCCCGCCCACCAACATAGTAGTCGCCAAACCAAACACCTGACCTGTCCTGTCCATTTTTCCTCATTTCTTCCTTGTTCCATCCTTTCTCACTCGATTTCGCCCCCCCCCCCTTCCCTCGCCTTGTTCCATGCCCTGTCCACATCCTTCTCAAACGAGAAAGCAAGAGAACGATGAGAAGGAGAGGTGAGAGGGACGAAAAAGGCAAGGAAATGAAGATTTCGCCCTGCCCTCTCTGTCACTTTTCTCATCCGCTTTCACCCCTTCCCTCTCATCACTCCATGCTCTATGCTAAGAAAGGAATAGGAGAGGAAGAGAGGAGTGGGAGGAAGAAGATTGGCAGAGGAAAAAGGGACTTCTTCCCTTTCATTTAGCTTTGGCTTACGGTATCCCAAACACCAAAATACAGATGGGTCTTTGGGAGGGGGGCTTGAAAATTCTACAGACTTTAGCAGAGCATATGAAATATTGAACTACTGGACCCCAGGGCCGAGTAAGCGCTCCAGCTGCTTAATCGGGTTGACGATGCCGGGGAACTCTCCCCGAGAATCTTCAATCCTGATCCTTCGGCCTCAAGGCCGATTGAGCGCTCCGCCTGCTTAATCGGCCCTGGGTTTGAAGATTGAACATGCCCGGGAACTCTCCCCGGAGCACCTTCAATCCTGGATTCTCAACCCTGGGCCGACTAGGCAGATGAAGTGCTTAATCGGCAGGGGTCTGGGGTTGAAGATACTCCTGGGAGAGTTCCCCGGCATATTCAATATTCAATCTTCAATCCAAGGGCCGATTAAGCAGCAGGTGGAGCGCTTAATCGGCCCTGTGTTTGAAGGTTGAAGATTGAAGATGCCCGGGAACTCTCCCCGGAGCATCATCAATCCGGGGAGAGTTCCCCGGCGTCTTCAATCTTCAATCGTCAAACCCAGGGCCGATTAAGCACTGTCTTGGCCCCCCCTTCACAAAACATATTATCTCTACTTTGTTGTCCAGAAGCAGATGTTGGCGCGTAAGGCCTTTTCACACCCGAAAACATCTCTCAGTCAGCAAAACGCAAAGAGAAAGTACGTAGAATAGGTGCCCACATCAAGTGTGTATATAGGATAAATGTATGGCGTATCAAATACCGATAGCGGAGAACGAACCATGAGACTCAGAAGTATTCGAGCGCATAGGGTAATGCGGAAAATCATTTGCTTTAAGCCCCAGGGACACGAGAATACTGTGAGCAAATGTCCTTTCGCGATTTCCTGAGACCTTCCAACAGGCTGCAAGTAATTGCTCGCAAGTATCTTGCTTTTTCATTCTCAATGCTTCCCACAGGTCTCCCATCATGGTTATCATTTGTCAAGGATGATGCTTATTCTCCAATTATCCGCAAGACCCACAGGCGCTTAAAGTCTTACGTAATACTCGTCCAAAGCAACAGGATATCACATCCTGACTACAAAAAGTATACGAAACCTTGGTTTATGTTGTGCGTCTCGTAAGAAGAAATGACATAGCGTGCTACGGGAACTGTGCTGTTAAGCCTTTATATAGCGAGGGTTTAGTGGTTTAGAGTTGAAGGGGAAGGCCAGAAAGTCTTTTCAGATGCCTCGCTGTTTTATTTTTTGTCACCGTGTTTTAGGCGGTTGTACGTCTCGTAGGAATAAATGGTTTCTGATATAGCATGCTACGGGAACTGTGCTGTTATATCTCAATGTACCGAGGGTTTAGGGTGGTTTAGAGTTGAAGGGGTAGGCCAGAAGGTTTTGTTTAGCTACTTTGCTGTTAGATTTTTGTTTTCATTCTTTTCACCTTTTCACCCTTATCTTATCTTCATCTCTCTCTCTCTCTCTCTCTATCTTCTTCTTCTTCTGCTGGGCTTGCAGTTCTCCCTTCCTCTCTGTCATTTCTGCGTATTGTTCTTTCCGTTCTTGCTTCTCTTTCTATTTCTCCACTTTCCTTCCTCTCCTTCCTGCTTCTTAGCTTTCCACCAGAAAAAGAAAATGAAAGAACGGCAAGCTCGTCTTGGTTTATCACTGATCACCAATGAGACAGGAGAGAAGAACAAGGAATAGAGCAATGAAGTCGAGGAAGGGGCAGATGATGAGAGCGAGGGCGTCTTGCTTTCCCTGAGCTTTCGGTTCCTTTCATTTGTCCTTTCTTCTTATGAAGAGAAAAGGGAGAAGAGCAGAGGATGAAGGCAAGGGAAGAGAAAACGTGTGAGCCGAGCGAAAGAGGAGTTCTCCCTTCCTGTCCCCACCATCTGCCTTCATCCTATCTTTCCTTTTTGTTCTCTGTTGTCCTTATTCTCCGCAGAAAGTTTTGGAAAGGAGGGGAGGAAGGAAAGAGGGGAGGGGAGGGATGAGAGAGCAAGAGATGGCAGACACAGAGAGAGAGAGAGAGAGAGAGAGAGAGAGAGAGAGAGAGAGAGAGAGAGAGAGAGGGGGAGAGAGAGAGAGAGAGAGAGAGAGAGAGAGAGAGTGAGACAGAGCGAAGAAGAGAGAGAGAGAGAGGGAGATTAACAAAAGAAAAATCTTGAGAGGGAAGGAAAGGAGAGATAAACACATCGAGATGAAGTGGTGTTTTCCCTTTCCCCTTCCTTGGTGTTATATCAGGTAAACAAAAACAATACTAATAGGAAAAGGCTAAAAGCGGCTGAAACAACAATATGGTCATGGGAATATTTATCAACAAAAGAGTATATTATCGTCTTAATTAAAGCAACACACTTGAGGGCGCTCAGGGTTTGTCATTTCCAGCAGCTCCTGTAGTTAGCGTTATTTATGTTATTATTGATTTTTGTTAAAGTAGTATATTTATCGCAAACACCAGACCCTTAGACGAGGGTTGAATGGAAAACGGAATGAGAGGTAGGTGGCGAAGCCCTAGGAAAATAAGAGATGTGATGCCAAACATGGGAGCCCTGAGCCGTGAACCGAACTAGCCCTAAGCCATAAATTTTGCCTTAAACTTAAACCCCACAAATTGTATGTGTGAATTGAACCGTTTAAATAGCAAACAAAAAGGAAGTGCCAAATAGACCCTAAAGGTCCATGCCACATAAGCTCTTATTAGCCCTCATCAGCACATATCAGCCCTTATCAGCCCTTACGAACCCTTATAACACCCCTATAAAGGACTCGAAGCCCCTGGAAGGCCCTATGATTACGCCCTTATAAACCCCATGGGGTCCCGAAGACCCTAAACCCCAAGCCCTAAACCCTAAACCCTAAACCCCTAAACCCTAAACCCTAAACCCTAAACCCTAAACCCTAAACCCTAAACCCTAAGCCCTAAGCCCTAAGCCCTAAGCCCTAAGCCCTCAGCCCGGAAAATGTCCGGAGGCGGCCTTGTTTGCGGTGACGGAGCCGATCCTGACTCTTTTTGAGCACTTGCGGGGTCTTCTCACGCTTAGGACGCCCAGTGCTCCGATTAGGGTGTCAGGTTTAGGGTTTGGGGCTTGGGGTTTAGGCTAGGGTTCAGGGTTTACCCTCAACCCTAAGCCCTAAACCCTAGAACCCCGAACCCTAAACCCTAAACCCTAAACCCTAAACCCTAAACCCTAAACCCTAAACCCTAGGACCTAAACCCTACACCACAGCTGTCTAAGCTCGAGTTCCCACGGTTTGAAAGCCCCGCCTGAACCCTCAAAGCTGCGAGCCAAAGGGAGCCGAACCATCAGTGTGACGGCAGGAATTGATTGTGCTCTAAGGACGTGATCCGTCCCGACCCGAAACCCAAACCCTAGACCCCAAACCCAAGCCCCAACCCCAAACCCCAACCCCTAAACCCTAAACTCAAAAGACCCGGTCCGATGTAAGGAACCGCGTCGGCGTCCGACGGGTGTCCTTGCGCGAGGCGCTTCGACAGGCGCCCGGCCGGGTTGAGGGCTTAGGGTCACGGGCTTCGTGACATGTGGGGTTTGGGGTTTAGGGTTTGGAGTTTAGGGTTTAGGGTCCAGGGTTCACGGTTTCCTGCGAGATGGCGCGAAACTGATTGTGCAGAGAGTAGTTTTCGAATGCTGCGGACTATGCGAAGATGGCCCGACCATCTCCAGCCCCATGCCAGGTAGGACAGCTAGGGTTTAGGGTTTAGGGAGTTGTTTAGGGTTTAGGGTTTAGGGTTTAGAAGTTTAGGGTTTAGGGTTGTAGGGTTGTAGGGCTGTAGGGTTGTAGGGTTTAGCGTTTAGGGGTCGCTATTCGGGCCTTCAGCCGATCGTACATGGTGCTGGGAGATTCGTTCATCAGCATACTGTAGGAGCCATAAAATATTCATAACTAGAACAGGGTTTTGGGGGGTAGTAGAGTAGAATTATGAAGGGACCAGAAAGGGAATAATTGGATTTTTTCCGACCCCTTTGTTCGGCTCAGCCACTGAACACGTCGGCTCAGCCACTGAATCAAAGCTTCGGCAAACAGCAGGGAGCCTTAGGGTTTAGGGTTTAGGTTTTAGGGTTTAGGGTTTAGGGTAATCGACGGAGGCACTCCTTTCTGCCTGCAACGCTTGCCCCTAGACTCCCCAAGCCCTAAGCCCTAGGCCTTTTAAGCCCCTAAGCCCTAACCCCAAAACCCTACAACCCCCTAGCCCTGATCTCTTACCTATAACCCCCTTGGGAATCGCTTTTTATTTTTTCTTTATATAAAACCCAAGAGGATACTAAACAATATTTTTCCTTAAGGTTCTAAGGGGAGTATATAGTTACAGTCCACAAGCCTCCCGGATCTTCAGGTGGAGCCGAAGATGATGCTGAGGCACTTCAAGACCACGCTGCCCACGAGCCTCGCAGCCTTAAGCCCGGTGGAGCCTCAAAGCTTCAACCTCGCAGACCCCCTTAAGCCCTAAGCCCTAAGCCCTAAACCCGAAGCCCTAGACCCTAAACCCGAAGCCCTAAACCCAAAACCCAAAACCCTAAACCCTAAACCCCAAACCCCAAACCCTGAACCCTGAACCAGGCTTTAGGCTTTAGGCTTTAGGCTTTAGGCTTTAGGCTTTAGGCTTTAGGCTCTAGGCTCTAGGCTCTAGGCTCTAGGCTCTAGGCTCTAGGCTCTAGGCTCTAGGCTCTAGGCTCTAGGCTCTAGGCTCTAGGCTCTAGGCTCTAGGCTCTAGGCTCTAGGCTCTAGGCTCTAGGCTCTAAGAGCCTAGGTTCTAGGCTTTTCAGAAACTATATGCCCGAGAGAACCCTACAAGGAGCCTGATCAAGCAGCCCTTGAACGAGGGCTTCCTTGCGGCTTTCCGGGCCACAGGGTGGCCTCTTGGACGCATGTTGTGTCAAGGTTTAGGGTTTAGGGTTTAGGGTTTAGGGTTTAGGGTTTAGGGTTTAGGGTTTAGGGTTTAGGGTTTAGGGCCACACCTATTAAAGGGGATCCGGAGTATGGGCCCTGTTACTTTGGGTCCCCTGTTATACAACCCGTATATACACTATACATAAGAAGGGCCCATACGTCGGATCCCATAAAATCCCTTTAACCAAGGGTAAGGGACTGTACTAAGGGCCCATGGCTCCAACCTTAGATATGTAGCAAGCCCCTGTGGTTCTTAGTGGGAATCAGGGAATGGGGTACCTTATATCCCTTGAAATAGAGGGTTACATAGGGTACCTCATACCCTGGCCTCATTCCCTACTACGAGCCGGGTGTTCCTTTCATTCTTGCAAGGCTTTAAGGGTTGGGGCTTTGTTTAGCCCGTGTCTTTTTTGTGGCAGTCCAGGGGTATTTGGCAAGTTTCTGGGGTGGTAAATGAAAGCAAAGGGGTGTTCGCTTTTCATGCATTTCAGGTTGTATCTTTTTGCGGTGGGTTTGCGCTTTGGGGGTGTCTTGTAAAAAGGCTTTCAGGGGGTCTGAAGGTTGTTTTGAGTTTTTTGCCCGGGTCTTTCAGTTCAAGGTTTTTTTGCGCCCCCCTCCCCCCCACCCCCTGCCCCCCTGTGCCTCACCCCCTGCCCCCCTGTGCCTCACCCCCCCCCCCCCCCCCCCCCGCCGCCACCACCACCCGAATAATTCAAACGCAAAAACACGACACATGTAGAGCAAACAGATAGGCACCCCCCCAAAAAAAAAATCCCTGGACCCCCCCCCACCCCTCCCCTCCCCTCCCAAAACAAAAAAACAGCAATAAAATAACAAAAAGAAGACAAGGCTCTAACCCCCGAAACCCTATAAGCCAAAAGAAAAACCAAAAAAAACTATCCCCGTCCTCAGGTCCGATGGTCTGCAGGGGCTGGTGATGGGCATCCTCTACCCAACCCTCACGCTGCCGCTCACGCCACCTGGGGGCACACACTAGGGGCCTTTTCAGGTGCTGAGGGGGTTTAGGGTTTAGGGGTTTGCCCTCAACCCTACAGCTAAACCCTAAAGCCCTAAGTTCGGGTTTTTTAGGGGTTTGCCCTCAACCCTACAGCTAAACCCTAAAGCCCTAAGTTCGGGTTGAGGGGTTTAGGAGATGCATTCAGGGGGTCCACAACCTTTTGGACCCTAACGACCTGAAGACCCACAGCCGCACTTGACACTCAACCCTAATGATCCTAATCCCTAAACCCTAAACCCTAAACCCTAAACCCTAAACCCTAAACCCTAAACCCTAAACCCTAAACCCTAAACCCTAAACCCTAAACCCTAAACCCCAAACCCCAAACCCCAAACCCTAAACCTTAGCTTTAGGGTTAAAGTTTTGGGGTTTAGGGCCCCGCAACTCTGCGGTGCTTTACTGTAACTTTGGATCCTTAGCCTTTTGGGGGTTTATTGGGTTTCTGATAATAAGGCAGCTAAAAAATTAGATTTTTGGCTACCCTGCTAAGTACAGCCAAGTTAGGGTTAAGGTTTTGGGGTTTGGGGTTTAGGGTTTAGGGTTAAGGGTTTAGGGTTTAGGGCTTAGGGTTTAGGGTTTATGGTCCAGGGCGCCCTACGAGGGGGCCCCTTGAGCAGAGTTGTGTCTTGCGGGTGGCTATTGACCTCGGGGTGCCGAGACAAAGGCCATGAGCCGGATCACGTGGTGACGCTGCGAACCCTGAACCCTAAACCGTAAACCCTAAACCGTAAACCCCTAAACCGGCCTAAACCCCAAAACCCCAAAACCCCCAAACCCCCAAACCCCTAAACCCCTAAACCCCTAAACCCCTAAACCCCTCAACCCCTAAACCCCTAAACCCCTCAACCCCTAAAACCCTAAACCCCTTAACCCCTAAACCCCTAAACCCTAAACCCTAAACCCTAAGCCTTCTTAAGGTGTAGCCATCCCAAGGAACCTACGCATGCGCAAATCCCTGGATGAGAGCTACACGCTGGGAGACTTGCAGCTCGGTTTCGTTTTTAGGGTTTAGGGTTCAGGGTTCAGGGTTCAGGGTTTAGGGTTTCGGGTTTAGGGTCTCGGTCTTTTTTAGTTTAGGGTTGAGGGTCTGGGGTTTAGAGTTTAGGTTGAGGGCTTAGGGTCTCTGAGGCCTTGCGCGTTTGAGGGTTTAGGGCTTTTGGGGTAGGGGCTTCGGGGATTTAGAGCTGAGGATTCTAGGGTGGAGGGATTTTTCTTTGTTTCGGAGTCATGGGCGCTTGGTGGGTTTAAGGTGTTTGGGCTTAGGTTGGGGCAAGCTCTTGCTTCGGGTATTTCGGGATCCGGAAGGGTCAGTAGTTTCTCCCGCCGACATGTTGGGTTTAGGGTTTAGGGTTTAGGGTTTAGGGTTTAGGGTTTAGGGTTTAGGGTTCAGCATCTCAAGTCCAAGCATTTCACTAGTAGAGCTCCTTACTCCGGTGTCGAATATCGACCCACCCACCCATTGGATCCCATAACATTCTGAAAATATTTTACTTTATGTTTTAACCTCAAACTTTTGGGTTCAGTAGGCTGGGCCCTAAACCCTAAAGCCAGCCCAGAGTAGGCCCTAAACCCTAAAGCCAGCCCAGTGTAGGCCCTAAACCTTAAAGCCAGCCCCGAGTAGGCCCTAAACCCTAAAGCCAGCCCCGACTAGGCCCTAAACCCTAAAGCCAGCCCAGAGTAGGCCCTAAACAGCCATTTTTGGTGCTCGTCCGGGAATTGTTGGTGTTTGTCCGGAAATGTTTGGTGCTTGTCCGGGAATTTTTGGTGCTTGTCCGGGAATTTTTGGCGCTTGTCCGGAAATTGTTGGTGCTTGTCCGGGAATTTTTGGTGCTTGTCCGGAAATGTTTGGTGCTTGTCCGGGAATTTTTGGTGCTTGTCCGGGAATTTTTGGTGCTTGTCCGGCGCGTCGTCTTCGAAAACCTCCAAAACAAGACGGCCTACGCGCCCAAATTGTTTAATGCTGGCGTCCCGGGGGGGCCCCGGGACACTGTCCCAGGGGCGTCCGGGGGGGTCCCGGGACAACTGTCCCGGGCCTGTCCGGGGGGGCCCCGGGACAAAGGTCCCGGGAGGGCCCCGGGACACCCCGCACGCCCCGGGACAAGTTGTCCCGGGGGGGCCCCGGGACGACCCGTTCCGGGGGGCTCGGGGACAACCCGTGTCGGGAACACTTTTAGAGAAGCTGGCCAGGCCTGGCCCCACCCCACCCCACCCTCGATCATCCTCTTCCTGTTCGGGAATTTTGGTGCTTGTCCGGGAATTTTTGGTGCTCGTCCGGGAATTGTTGGTGTTTGTCCGGAATTTTTTGGTGCTTGTCCGGGAATTTTTGGTGCTTGTCCGGGAAGTTTTGGTGCTTGTCTGGAAATTGTTGGTGCTTGTCCGGGAATTTTTGGTGCTTGTCCGGAAATGTTTGGTGCTTGTCCGGGAATTTTTGGTGCTTGTCCGGGAATTTTTGGTGTTTGTCCGGAAATTTTTGGTGCTTGTCCGGGAAATGTTGGTGCTTGTCCGGGAGTTTTTGGTGTTTGTCCGGAAATTTTTGGTGCTTGTCCGGGAATTGTTGGTGCTTGTCCGGGAATTTTTGGTGCTTGTCCGGAAATGTTTGGTGCTTGTCCGGGAATTTTTGGTGCTTGTCCGGAAATGTTTGGTGCTTGTCCGGGAATTTTTGGTGCTTGTCCGGGAATTTTTGGTGCTTGTCCGGCGCGTCGTCTTCGAAAACCTCCAAAACAAGACGGCCTACGCGCCCAAATTGTTTAATGCTGGCGTCCCGGGGGGGCCCCGGGACACTGTCCCAGGGGCGTCCGGGGGGGTCCCGGGACAACTGTCCCGGGCCTGTCCGGAATTTTTGGTGCTTGTCCGGAAATGTTTGGTGCTTGTCCGGGAATTTTTGGTGCTTGTCCGGGAATTTTTGGTGTTTGTCCGGAAATTTTTGGTGCTTGTCCGGGAATTGTTGGTGCTTGTCCGGGAGTTTTTGGTGTTTGTCCGGAAATTTTTGGTGCTTGTCCGGGAATTGTTGGTGCTTGTCCGGGAATTTTTGGTGCTTGTCGTTTGGTGCTTGTCCGGGAATTTTTGGTGCTTGTCCGGAAATTTTTGGTGCTTGTCCGGGAATTGTTGGTGCTTTGTCCGGAAATTGTTGGTGCTTGTCCGGGAATTATTGGTGCTTGTCCGGGAATTTTGGGTGGTTGGCCGTGAATTGTTGCTTGTCTGGCAATTTTGGTGCTTGTCCGGGAATTTTTGGTGCTTGTCCGGGAATTTTTGGTGCTTGTCCGGGAATTTTTGGTGCTTGTCCGGGAAATTTTGGTGCTTGTCCGGGAAATTTTGGTGGAAAACCGCGAATCCATTAGCTTTTAAATATACATAGGTTAGAGAGTGTTTAGGGTTTAGGGTTTAGGGTTTAGGGTTTAGGGTTTAGGGTTTAGGGTTTAGGGCTGCTGAAGGCCGCCGGGCTTGACTTCGTCCATGTAGAATTTCGAGGGCTCTTGGAACGTGTAGCGATAGTTCTAGGGCTTCGTCCAAGTTAGCCTTCGTAACCCCTCCAAATACCCTTTAAGGGTTTAGGTTTCAGGGTTTCGGGTTTAGGGTTTAGGGTTTAGGGTTTAGGGTTTAGGGTTTAGGGTTTAGGGTTTAGGGTTTAGGGTTACCCTTTGAGATACACTCAATCCGCAACCCCAAGCCCTAAAGCTGGTAGGGAGGGCCTCGCTAGTTTAGCTTTGGCATTTCGGCAGCCTGACCTGCTGATGCCTAGCCTAAGCCCCAAAGCCTAAACCCTAAACCCCAAAACCTAAACCCCAAACACTCTGTTGTTGTGTTGTTGCTTCAGGTTCTGCAGTTTTTGGGCCGTTCGAAAAGGAGGCCATCGAGTCATTTAGAGGGTTTCTCTAAGCTTCAAACATATAGCGAGAAGTAGAATCGAGGTAGGCACTGGAGTTTTGCTATGAAAACAAGACAGAACAACTAACGGATTTCCATCTTGAAGAAGGATTCTTCGCTTGCCCTGTCGAGGAAGTAGCTGTAGAACTACAGAGGGTATGAATTAGAGGTTTCCTTTGACACGAAACCCTAAACCCTAAACCCCAAACCCCTAAACCCTCTCTGCCAGGTATGCCGCTTACTGGCCAACCTTGGTTCGCGACATCGTGGGACAGCAGGCCAGGACGCGTGCGACTGGGCTTGCAGCTTTAGGTGTAGGGTTTAGGGTTTAGGGTTTAGGGTTTAGGGTTTAGGGTTTAGGGTATAGGGTTTAGGGTTTAGGGTTTAGGGTTTAGGGTTCAGGGCTAGAGTCTAGGGTTTAGGGTTTAGGTTTTAGGGTTTAGGGTTTAGGTTTAGGGTTTAGGATTTAGGGTTTAGGGCTAGGGTTTAGGCGTTTAGGGTTTAAGGTTTAGGAGTTTAGGGTTTTAGGGTTTGGGGGTTGAGGGTTTAGGGCTTTAAGGTTTCAAGGCCCTCCAGAAAGCATGAAGTAAGCTGACCAAAGCGGCAATCTGCTAAAACAGGGTCTGTCAACAACTCAACAAAAAGCTGTGCAGGGCGAAGCCCCTAAAAGTCGAGGGATTGAGGGTGGGGGTTGTATGGTTTGAGTTTTAGGGCGGGCCTATCGAGGGTTTCGGGGGTTCAGGTTGTTTTTGTGGTGCTTATTGAGGGCTCAGGGGTGTTTTGGGGGTTCAGGGGTTTTGGATGACGGTTTACGGAGGGTTTGGGGGGGGGGGGTGGGGGATTCGGGGGTTGTCGGATGTATTGAGGGTTCAGGGGGTTTACAGGTTTAGGATTTAGGGTTTCAGGGTTTTAGGGGTTTAGGACATAGGGTTTGAGGTGTTTAGATGCACTATCCTTTGCTTGTGGCCTGGGGTTGGGCAAGAAGTTTGTGTTTCGGGTCAGTGGTTGAGGTTTTGGATGGTTGAATGGAAACCTTGCGGGTGTACGTTTGCTAAACCCTAAGAACCCAAAAACCTAAACCCTGAACCCTGAACCCTGAACCCTAAACCCGAACCCTAAACCCTAAACCCTAAACCCTAAACCCTAAACCCTAAACCCTAAACCCTAAACCCTAAACCCTAAACCCTGAACCCTGAACCCTGAACCCTAAACCCTAAACACCGACCTCCTTATGGCCTACACGGTTTAGGGTTTAGGGTTTAGGGTTTAGGGTTTAGGGTTTAGGGAGCCTCTACCCTCAGGGCTTAGGCGGGGGCTTCTTGGCATCTTTGGGGAGTTGTTGCTTCAGGGCCGTGAAGCTTAGGGGTCTTACATTTTCAGCCGCCCCATGTGCCTATCTAGTATACTAGGTGGATCCTGGGGAGGTTTTATAGTTCCCTTAGTGGGTTTAAGAGGATCATGTTCAGGAAGATTTTTCAGAGGGCTTTAAGGGCCATGCTAGTATATACTTTGGGCTTTCGGAGGGGTTCCTATTGTCGTGGCTGTGGGGCCCAAGTTTTTGACCCTTCGGAGCTACTGGGAGGTTCCAATTGCCACTGTACTTCTAGCCATATTAGGGCACTTAAGGGACTTATTAGTGGGTTATATGTACAGCTATACTTGGTTAACAAGTACCATGAACCTCCAAGCAGGGTGCGACTGTGCGACCGCGTGGCTCAGGTGAACAGCCGAAACCCTAAACCCTAAACACTAAACTCCCTAAACCCTAAACCCTAAACCCTAAACCCTAAACCCTAAACCCTAAACCCTAAACCCTAAACCCGCGTGGCTCAGGTGAACAGCTTCTGCGTCCGCACGCTGGGGTGGGGCCGCCAGTCGCCCGCGGCCATGGCCTTGTCGATGTTCATGACCTGCGCCTCTAGGCTCCAAGGGAAGGCCCCTGAACCCTAAACCCTAAACCCTAAACCCTAAACCCTTAACCCTAAACCCTAAACCCTTAACCCTAAACCCTAAACCCCAAACCCTGAACCCTAAACCCAAACCCCCCAGCCCCTCAAGCCCCCAAAGCCCCCAAGGGCGCACTCCCAAGGTTATCTCGTCTCCCTTCAACGAGCTCCGGAACTTCTACATGAAGCGCGGGGATATGACCTGGAAGGCGTCCTTTTCTCGGGGCTCTTTGTTTGGTTTAAAATTTCGAATTTTGACTTTAGGGTTTAGGGTTTAGGGTTGGAGGGGATGAGGGTTCTCAGGGTTCTTAGGGTGATTAGGGTTCTTGAGGTTCTTAGGGTTCTTAGGGTTTTTGGAGGGTTTAGGAAATGGGGGTCTTGGGGTTGTTAGGGTTCTTAAGGTTCTTGGGGTTCTCAGGGCTCTCAGGGTTTCTTCGGGTTCCTTGGGGTTTCTGAAGGGCTTTTAGGGTCTTTAAAGGAAGGTTAGGAGGGGTCTTAGGTTTCTTAGGGTTCTTAAGGTTCTTAGGGTTCTCGAGGGTTCTCGAGGGTTCTTGAGGGTTCTTAGGGTTCTTGAGGGTTGGTTCGTAAGGTTTCTTCGAGACTGAGGATGCCTCGGAGGCTTCTTCGGGTTCTTAGGTTGGAGGGATTTATGGGGGGTTTCTTAGGATTCTTTGCGGTTTTCTTAGGGGTTGTCATTGTTCTTAGGAGGGCTGTAGGAGGGCTTCAGGAGGGTTCTTAGGCTCTCAGGGTTTGTTAGGGTTTTCTCAGGGTTCTCAGGAGGGGTTTAGGAGGGTTGTTAGGGTTCTTAAGGTTCAGGGTTCTTCAGGTTATTAGGGTTCTTGGGGTCATGAGGGTTCATGGCGTTTTGGGGTTTGCAAGGCTTCTTAGGGTTCTTCGGTTTCTGAAGGTTATTAGGGTTCTTAGTGTGCTTAGGGTCTTGTAGGGTTATCAGGTCTAGGGGTAGCGTTCCTTGTACATCCGCCCGGGGTCATCGCAGCTGGTCAGGAGTCTACTGAAGACGCAAACAAATCTGGGTTGACATAGACCCAAGTCGTAGGGTTGCAGCTGCCATGAATCGCGACCTGCAGCCAGGCGAGGGCCTGATTGAGGTGGAGACAGGCGACAGCAAAGTCTGGCAGGTCCCCGTGGATGTGGCGTGGTGGCCGAGTCTCCCCGAGGACGAGTCCCTGGGCTGAGCTCAAGTAGCGACAGTCGAGGTGAGGAAACACAAGCACAAGTGGGTGGAGGCAAGGCATTCACTTCATCCAGCGTCCAGTATGCCCTTGACCATGGGTGCATGATTCCAGCGGTCCGCAATCGTGGAGTACGTGAAAATTTTGGAAATGAGGAGATGTTCCCCAGCAACTTGAACAAAAATAGCACGACTGCCAGTACTTCGCTAAACTTCGGATGGCCCCAAACTAACCCCCAAACACCACAGCCCTCAATCCAAAACTCTCAAATCGTGAAACCCCAAATCCCTAAGCCCAAGACCCAAGATCCCTAAACCCTAACCCTTAAGCCCTAAATCCTCAAACCCAAGCCCGTAAACCCTAAACCCCCAAAACCATGAATCCCGAAACCCTAAGTGCATAGACCCCAACTCCCTAAACCCTAGGCCCACAAACCCTCCTGACACCCTAAATCCTGAAAGCCTACATCCCTAAGCCGCCCAAACCCTTAAACCCTAGACCCCTAACCCCCCCAAGCGCTAAATCCCTCAACGCTCAAAAGCCTCAGCCCCTAAAAAGCCCCAAGCCCCTAAGCCCAAAATCCTAACACCTAAGCCCAAAACCCTAAACCCTAAGCCCAAAACCCTAAACCCCAAACCCTAAACCCTAAACCCTAAACCCTAAACCCTAAAGCCTAAACCCTAAACCCTAAACCCAGCTGGGCTGGCACAGGAGTTCTTCCAGCTGAAGCGGTGCATCCGGTCCACGGCGGTGGGCGCATGCAACTTCGGGTTACCCCTCCCTGCTGAAGGCTTAGGGTTTTTGGGGTTTCGGAAGGTTACGTGTTTAGGGGTTGAGGGATTTAGGGTTCAGGGTTTATTAGGGAATTTGGGTTCAGGTTCGGGGTTTAGGGTCTGGTTTGGGATGCTCAGGGCTGAGGGGCGTGCTTGGGGGCCCCAAACCCCAAATAAACCCTAAACCCTGAACCCTAAGCCCTAATCCCTAAACCCGAAACCCTGAACCCTAAACCCTAAACCCCAAACCCTAACCCCTAGACCTTATTAAAGCTGTAGAGACGCGGGCCCTGAGACTGCAAACGACCCCCAAGAACCAAGGCGCCCACATTTAGGGTTTAGGGTCTAGGGTTGACCCCCTACACTGCTCTTCTGGGGCTTTTGCTGAAACCCTCTCTCCTAAATCCGAAAACAAGAACCCGGTGGAGGTTTAGTGATTGGAGGTGCATGGCTCTAGAGGTTTTAGGGCGGTGGGGTCTCGGGAGGTTTAGGGAGCTTAGGGGGTTTAGGGTATAGGGTGTAATTAGGGTTCAGGGTTTTGGGAAGCTTAGGGGGGTTCAGGGTTGGGGCAGGGGTTTTTACGGTCCAGAAGTGCAGGCCTGTGCTGCTGCAGGGTTTAGGGTCAAGTTGTTTAGTAAACCCTAAGCCCTAAACCCTAAACTCAAAACCCTAACCCCTAAGCCCCAAGCCCCAAGCCCTAAACCCTAAACCGAAACCCCAAACCGGCACCCCAGCATCTCAAACCGAAGCTCACGCGAGACTAAACCCTCAAGCCTCCACCCTAAGCCTTCAACTCTACACCCTAAACCCTTAAACCCTGAACCCTAAACCCTAAACCCTGAACCCTGCTCCCTGCAAGACCTGAACCCTCAAGCCCTTGACGCATCCTCAAGCTGCAGTTTGGGAGTTCGGGGCCTGAAACCCCCTCAAACCTCCTCAGGCCATAAACCATCAACCCCCTAAACCCTAAACCCTAAACCCTAAACCCTAAACCCTATACCCTAAACCCCTAACCCCTAAACCTCAAACCCTAAACCCTAAACCCTAAACCATAAACCCTAAACCCTGAACCCTGAACCCTGAACCCTAAACCCTAAACCCTAAACCCTAAACCCCAAACCCCAAACCCCAAACCCCAAACCCCAAACCCCAAACCCCAAACCCCAAACCCCAACCCCCAAACCCCAAACCCCAAACCCCAAACCCCAAACCCCAAACCCCAAACCCCAAACCCCAAACCCCAAACCCCAAACCCCAAACCCCAAACCCCAAACCCTAAACCCTAAACCCTAAACCCTAAACCCTAAACCCTAAACCCTAAACCCTAAACCCTAAACCCTAAACCCTAAACCCTAAACCCTAAACCCTACACCACACCCTCAGCCCAGGTTAGCTCTGTGGGCCGGCTACTGGCTCGTTCCCAAGGTCGTGAGGCTTCTTCAGTCCGTGCTGGCGGTGCTGGGCCTCTAGGTTTTTGCGGGGGCTCCTCCACCCTAAACCCTAAACCCTAAACCCTAAACCCTAAACCCTAAACCCTAAACCCTAAACCCTAAACCCGAAGGTGGTTGGGGCCTGTTTGGGGCCTTTCGGGGAGCCCCTTGTGGCCTTTAGGGGCCTTTTGGGGCCTGTTTGGGGGCCCTTGAGGCTCAGGGTCAGGGTTGAGGCTCAAAGCTCGGGCCCAAAATTCTAGAAAGCCAAAAACCCAAAAGCGGAAAAACAAAAAAGAAAAACAAAACAGAAAGAAAGAAACAAAAGAAAAAGAAAGCAGCCACAGCCAGACCGAAGTCTCCTGAAACCTTCCCTTGCCCTCAAGTCCCTGGGGCCTCCGAGCCGCTTCTGCGCCCAAAGATGGCGCAGCTCGTCCCTCCTGGGACGTCCCTGCTACCAGATTTAGGGTTTAGGCTTTTAGCGGAAAAGTTCTAGCAGGTTTCCCCTATGGTGCCTTTATAAGTATACTGCAATAACACCCAAAAACCCTCTTCTACTTATCCAGGCCCCCTATAAGCCCTCTGCAAGAGAACTTTGACCGGAGCTCCTAAACTCATGGCGTTCGAACACGGTTTAGGGTTTAGGGTGCAGGGTTTGTGGTTTAGGGCTGCCCCCCCCCCCCCCCCCACCCCCCACCCGACTCAGCCCCAAGCCCAAGCCCTAAGCCCCAAGCCCCGAAACCGCAGCCCCAAACCCTCGGCCTCCAAGCCTCAGCGTAAGGGTAGTTACGTGGTCCCTTAACATTATGGGTCCCTTAGCTTCTTTCAAGGGTTCTGAAGTATGGGCCCTTGGGGTACACAAGGGGTCCCCATTTAAGGGCTCATGCGAAGGGGTGACGCTGTTGCAGAGCCTGCGGCACCCCAATTCTTAGGGAGGGTCCTCGAAGCGTTCCAGGGTTAAAGGTTTATGGTTTTGGATGTTCGGGTTTCGGGTTTGCCCAGCCCAGACCCCCCCCCCGGCCCCAAAGTATCCTAGATCCTAAACCCTAGAAGCACAGTCTTTGGGGGGTTTACGGCTCTTCGAATTTAGGGTCAAGCCCAAAACCCTGAGCGCTACAACCTGAACCCTACACCCTAAACCCCAAACCCTAGACCCTAGAGCCTGGACCCTAAACCCTAAACCCTAAACCCTAAACCCTAAACCCTAAACCCTAAACCCTAAACCCTAAACTCCCTAAGCAACTCGGGCCTTTTGGGTTCCGGTCGTCTCGCTGCATCCATCCGGTGGCGGGTCTGGAGACGAGATCGTGGGAGACACGGCTTCGGGTTTTCCAGAGGTGGGGCCACGGTTTAGGGTTTAGGGTTTAGGGTTTAGGGTTTAGGGTTTAGGGTTTAGGGTTTAGGGTTTAGGGTTAATTTCTACGACCCCGCCCTAAACCCTAAACCATAAACCCTAATCCCCCCATATTCATAATCGCAACGCGGAAGGGTGCCCTAAAGTAGGGAGCCTCCAGCATGCATCTGGTGAGTGTAGGCATTTCCGAGACACCGAGTTTTACGACCCCAA